TGTGAATAGAGAAGACAATCTATGTAGAATATTAGAATAAATAGGACGTATTTATATATGCTAGGAGCGCGTCATCAGATTAGAAGTCGACGACTTTCTGAGCTGACATCCTTAGACAACTTTATGGTCAAAACACAAAACAATCCATATCAAAGATAAGAAGTGCCTATATATGCAGCCGAAGAACTAAATCTCCAACAGCACGGTACCCTAGTGAATTATTGTGGTTGTTGTTGTCAAGCCTCTCTCATTGGTACCTAATACAGTTTCTATCTAGACACAGGAAGACAATACAAATTACCTTACAAGAAGTAATTAAGGAATGCTTGTAGTTAGAACCACACCCGCCACGTGTGTGTACCAGGTTAGCTTAATGATACTTTTTGTTGCCTGAATGAAGTCACGTACCGCCGCGACGCACGGCGTTGCGAATAGAGAAGCTAAGAACTGAATGTGCTATTTTAGTAAATAATTAACTTATTAAGTGATGGTCGAATGGCTGTATGCGTAACTACTGAGCATAGAGAACTCGATTCTCAGGTCAAGCTGGAACTTCTTCTTCTGCCTTGCTTTATTCCTCTCAGTTTATTTGGGGCTAACACTCAGTCCTCATTATACATTTTACAGGGCAAGGGTCATAACCCGCTGGTGGTCATCCACGTAATCGATCCATAACACGCCCCATGTACCAATCAGGTCTCATTACAAAAACTAGCAAAACCTGAAAGCCCACGTTATTAATTTAAAAAAATACAATGCTCTGTATACATGCTTCGGTCATCGTTAAACGGAATTCTTTCACCGTAATTCAAAATTATTTTAGTTTGCCAGACCCGGTGATTAATCCAAGACCTCTAGCTGGTAAGTATACACAACTGACCTGTAATGTTGTCCATTTCAATATAAAAAATGGCTAGGTGCAATATATCCCAAATGATTTAAAAGTTCCGTGTACTAATTATTATTAAACTACTTATAATTTTACATAGGTACTTAACCGTTATGCTACGAGTATAGATATTAAAATTTATTATGTATTACAGTCACACATATGTTCGTTTACTTTGACAAACGTGCTAATAGCTGAACTAACATACCTACTGACATCTGGACTACCATTCACCAAAAGTGTACATATATACATATACATATAAGTACCTTTAAACCGGTTCCTATACTATAGGTACATACATAGTAACAGCTTTTTTTGTAATAACATAAGATTTTTTCCTTAAACTAGCTGTTACATATTGTTAGATAATCATTATTTTCTTAAAAGTAGATCTAAACAAGTTGTTATTTTGTTTTAGAGGTATTAAGACGAAACTTAATTTGACTTAAGATTTTATTTCGTTTACATAAGTTGCGCTACTGTAAACTCAGGACACACCCTCCAACACCCTGTTGACACCCTCCAACATTTTAAATGTGTGTTCTGTGGACATATTCGTATGTATGAGATACGCATCAATAGGTGTCTTTTAATTTATATATATCCACCCCCTCAACTGCAAGATTCATATAATTTTATACAATTTTCAAAACATCCACGATCACAAAGCGTGTCTTCATTAACGAGGTCATCAAATGTTGATCGCCTTGGTTACATTGTGTGGATAATCAGAAAAACTTCCCAACGTCCTTGAATCTTTGTCAAAACAAATTGCCAAAAAGATAAAATTGTCAACACAAAGGATCACGAAGTGTTACTTAAAAAATACCATGTCGACTTGTGTCTTAATTTATTCAAAAATAGTCACTTAATATAATTAATTGATGTTAGAATAGACGTTTTTATATTTTTCTAGCTAATTTATAACAAATACTTAAGTATGTTAATTGACGCAAAAAAACATGGCGAGACGCCTCGTAGCACGATTCGTGGAATTTGTTTTTGATATTTCTAAAAAGTCACAAACATCTTACTTGTAAACAAACAATTGTATATAATAATCTTATGTCATAATATATTGTCTCTTTCTTATCTTTATTGGGAAGTCGCTCTACGTTCTGCGCAGCTTCAAATATCTAACGCAATCTGTAATCGTCCGTCTGTCTGTCTGATTATTTATTTATTTAATAATTCATGTATGTACACACAAACAGCACAGAGGACAAAACGTAAATAAAATCCGAATACATAGGTACTACTTATTCCTGTTCGACTTTCTTCCAGTAGACCTGAGACAAGAAATGTAATTAAAACATAAGACACAATAGGGTAGATGACTATTTTTTTTATTTTGATGTTGTCTTGTAGGATGTTTTAAAACATTACACGCGTATTTTTTATTTTTTTACAGAAACGAATACTCCTAAACTTTGATTCGTTACATCTATTATACTATCTATCACCGAATAACATTACATACAGCACAATAAATCGCCATGTGCCTACCGCCGTACCTTTCCCGAGGATATCGTAAGAATCGACAGGGCCCACATATTTATAGAATACGATCTAACCCGTGTTTTGTTGAGGGAGCCCTTATAGTCTGGGCGTCCCTCACGGGTTGTTAACGTAGATGTATCACAAACTATCTAATTGTGTCCCGCAGGCAGAGGCTAGTACCCATAATATAATGTGGCCCGTCAAGAAGACATAGGTACTATTTATTTGAATGGTTAATCGTTTAGTTTATCTTTGGACAATCCGTCACAAAATATATTCAGTCAAAATAAGTAAATCTTGGATTACAGTTATTGACGATCAAAGTTATTAACATTAAAAAAATATGGGTTGCAGTCTAATCTTACGAATTAGTGTTAATTAAAGAACCTGATGATTTGACTGACCCAGTACAACCACCGGCAACCATTCCAACTTGTATGTACCGTTATTTAATTAACCAAAAATATTAGACACAATCTGCAACTGTATTGCAAGTTGCACGTCCATACTCTGCAAGAGCATGGATCGTGTACTTAACAATGGACTCCTGGCATACCTTGAGGGTAAGGCAATACGTGTTTCGCTGTAACCGATCTACTGGGGATCTTCTTGCGTATGCCGCTCACATATGGAGCGAGGCCATCGAGGGGCACGGGGAGGCATTGGCAGTCTCCATCCATATTTCGATGGGCTTTGACAGGGTATGGCACGACAATGCAATCTAATTGGCAAGCTTCCTGCATATAAACTTGCTGCTAATCTGTGCAGATGGATAGCAGACTTCCTGAGGGATCGGTCAATACGAGTAGTCATCGATGGCTGCTCGTCTGACCAATTCAGAATTAAAGCCGGCGTCCCACAGCGTTCAGTACTTTAAGCGATACTCTTTTTGCTGCACATTAACGACCTGCTTAATCTTTGGGTTAAAGGCGATCTCTGACCAGAGTGATGCCAACTTGGTCAAGTTCAGCACTAGCCAAACCCAGGCGTGTCTATTCTCCGCCAACCGAAGTCAATTTCCGCTGACTCTTACTTTCCGGAATGTATCCGTTCCGATAACTAATCATCTTGAGCTTCTTAGCGTAACTCCCACACGCAATTTTGGCTCCTATGTAGAGCCGAAAGTGCAACTGGTTGGTACGAAGTTGGGTTTCCTATGGAGCGTGAGAAGGTACTTCACGCCGAAACAATTGCTGAACCTGTACCAAGCACATTTTCGGTTCTGTATGGAGTACTGCTCTCATCTTTGGGACGGCTCGGCTAAATATCAAAGGACGCGTTAAAGCACATTGAGAATCGTGCCATCAAGGATGATGCGCTTGTGGAAGCCCGGCTTCAGAGCCTCGAACACAGGCGAAAGGTTGCAAGCCTTTCAGTTTTCTACCAGATACATTTCGGTGAGTGTACGGGGGAATTGCACAACTTAATTTCCCCTAGTTCTTTCCTCATCATACCACAAGACAATCGGCGAAGCGTCACTGATTCATGGTAGATCCCACCCACACGCACGAAGCGCTTCGCATCAAGCTTCCTTGTGCGTACTGCTAAGGAGTGGAATTCTTTACTAGAGTCTGTATTTCCTGAAGGATATTGCCTAGATGTTTCAAGACCCGAGTGAATAGGTTGTTTATGAGATGACGTGCTCCACCGTAGACCGCGCCATCGCTATCGCCACCAGGCGAGATAGAGGTCAAACGTCGTCCCATCAAATATAAAAAAGTTACCCAAGTTTCTCTGCAACATCAGTAGTATTTGGCTGATTATTATGGGCTTCGACGATAGCCCTCTACTGAGTTCGATTTCCAGCCCTTCACCTAATTCCGGCCCGTTTAGGGATATCGCTCAGCTTATAGTCAGTTTGTCTTACATTACGTTAATTTATTCGGGCGCAACGCAAATACTGTCTGCTAGAAAGTAATTAAGATTACAATTTAAATAATGAAGTTGTCTATTGACGAATGCATAACATTACTAGGTGATTTAGAAGTGATCCCATAAAATTAAAATCACACATTAGGTACCAATTTTCCGAAATTTCATGTAAAAAACTGGCAGCAATTAACTGTTGTGGTCATAAAATAATTCGGTATAATAGTGTTGGAGAGAACAGTTTTTTATCTATCAAGTAAAAACCGGCTCTCGGAGCGAACTGCGATTCACAGACATCAACGCTATATTTAGATAGGTTTGATTAATCTATTAGCTTAGATTCAGCTATTACCTAGACATTATTTATTAAAATATTAAGTGTGTAGGATATTCTATCGAGGTTAGATACAACGGTGTACGAAAAGACAATGCTCTAACCACACTTTATAAAAACTGCGGAGAATACTTGTGATATTGTGATATCTTATTTTGATTACTTAATCTTATCACAGACACAGACAACATCCGAAATCTAGAAGAGCCAACGAACGTGTACCAAATGAAATGTTATCGCGAACCACTGAAAATTGTGAACAGAACAAACAGACAGTTTTCAACTTTTATTTATAAGTTTTCCTGCGGACGAATATAAAAACGGAGGTATTAGGTGGCGGCTCAAATGTGGACGATATCAAGCGCGTGACGACGTGCTCCGCGAGACAGACGGACAATATATTTTATGTAAACATCGGAAGGAGTGACAATGATCATATTCAGCAGTTTGGTGGTGCTGGCCGCGGTGCTTGGTGAGTGCCCTCTTATTTAGTGTGTGCTCATAATGTGGGACTGTTGTCCTGCCACGTGCTCGTGCGAAGCGTGATGTTATTATGGAAGTACATAGATGAGTAGAACAATATTTTTCAAAAGATTCAGTTCAATTTGGAGGTGTGTTTGGGAAAAATGATGTACCTCTAGGTAATAGTTTACGAGTTTTATAAGTACCTAAGTGTCTCCATGTCAAGCTGGCGCATAATCAACTTCATCCAACGACCTCCTTTTCTTCTTTTAATTCATGTCACTACTTTAGAATAAACAACTAGAACTTCTACTATTTTACCTGAAATCCTGTAATCAAATAAGAAGCCTCCAAATAATATTCACGTTAATCATTACAATTGTGCGCCCTGTGCGAATAACACATTTTTTGCGTATGTGTACATAAATATACATATAATAAATAAGTGCACGACCTGCGAAGCTGGTTTGGCACGTACATAATATATTAGATATGTATTATGTAGATATAATTAATTATAATGCGACTACTAAAAGTAAACCAACGCGGTAGTGCAAACAATTTGAGATTTTGTTCAAATTTTGCTTTACGTGGTTCACCATTATACGTGTTGTACTACTTATTTATTTATTAATGTCCAAAACTATTCATTTTTCGAGTTATTTTGTATGTAAATAGTGACAGAAGTTCTTCGTTAAATACTGCTAACGCACACACTTACGTTTTAAAGTTAAGGGGGTATATATTCCCAAACTAACATTTCCATATGGAAAAGTCGAATTGGTGTTTCATTTCTTTATAATATACCGTTGTTTATCAATATCATATGCCATTACTGCAAATTATTATTCGATTAATGTAGCCATTGTAGAAATATGCTCCCAACAACACATTACAAATTAGTAGATTACAAACAAAAATAGAAAAGTCTATCGATATGAGAAAGATTAGAGACCAACATATGAATGCTTTATTTTAAAAAACTGACAAAATGAGTAATTACTACTAACTGCTTTCATAGTGATCGTCTTGTTTCGGTTTTTACCTTACGATATTACATACTGCTACTTATTTTACACTACGTTCTAAAGAGTTCGTAACAGTATAATAAAATAGTGCCTCCCAACCAATAATAAACCCAAATACAACAGAAAAGCAAACTTGTAAGGTCAAAGACCTTTGCTCGCAAGTGTACAGTAATGAGGAGGCGGGGCGCGTGTGGCAGCGAAGCACTGCCTCCTCACAACCCAGCCGTCGCGAAGGACACTCCGGGTGTCGAGGATCGCGGGATGATCTCCGGCCACCGTAAGCTCGTCAAAAAGAGTCATCAGACCACTACAGATGGGGCCGAATGGGGCTGATGCCGATACGGAGCCGCGGAGGACTTAACGGGTTGCCGGGGCTCCGGCTCGAAGGGCAAGAGTTGGAACGGGGTGGTTTTTGGTCAGTAAGAATCTGACCCTCCCTCCCGCCTTACCCAGGATAAGTAATTCGATGATATTCCCTCCTTAAAAAATAAGTGTACAGTAATACAGTACACAATGTAACATTTCACTTAACATTCATACAGCCACGTGGCCAGCCAGGTTCGAAACCTACCAACGGCAAGTACCAATGTGAGTTTTTCCGAGTTATATGTACTTTCTAAGATTATTTAGACACCACCGACAAACGGTGAAGGAAAACATCGTGAGGAAACCTGGACTTAAAATTTCTAATTATAAGTTTGAAATCGCCAACCCGCATTGAGCAAGCGTCGTGATTAATGCTCAAGCCTTCTCCGTGTGACAAGAGGCTTTTCTCAGCAGTGGGCATTTATAGGCTGTTGATGATGATGATGATTACTGAAAGAGACACCATTCAAAAACCTCAACCAACCAATCTGCGATAACCACTATACAGCCATCTACAAAATAAGTATGATATAACTATCTTTTTAAACTCAAACAGCACTACCTACTTATATTTGCATTACCTACGTCTTAACTGGTCTCAGCAGGGCAAATACCAAAAATTCGGTTATCATAAAAGATAAATATTCTCCACAGAGTTGTAAACCGTCGCCATAACTAAATCATTAAGTATATACCTCTAATTAGTTAGTTCTCCGTATCATGTGCTCGTAAGTACGACCTTGGTAAAAGACTTGTTTATTTTTCTTAACAAACAAAGAATCACATTGTTTTTATGTTAATTTTGATAATGATATCTTTTTTCCTATGGTTTTAGTGGAGGTACTAAGTATGTTTAGTTTTTATCGTTAGTTACAGTCGAGCAGGCTTTGCACGAGACACGTGTATGAGGGACTGCTAATACCCTCTTGATTTTTTTTCTTTATAATTAAATGTAATACTAATTAGTAATAATGTACTAACCACCACTACGAATATTTTCTATTGCAAATATCGAGAAACTAAATCCAATCAAGTGGTCTAAGAACATACTTATACGATGCATAAACTGTTTGCAGTAACAACAATGCTATAATATTACACAACTGCGTTAATTTCTTAAAGGTCAAATTTTTTTGATAGGTACCACTTAATTATTTTCATTACTTATACAATATTAGAAAAGTAAATGTGATTCGCTCCCCTTTACATAATGACTCTACGACATAGATTTCATCACGAACAAACAATCAAGAAGGCAAATGTTTTAGGACCAATACTTTCCGTTACACAAAACGGCACGGTCCTGCTGTCTCCTATACAAAAAGTGCGGCTTTACCATACAATGGAACGGTAGCGAGGTCATTATAATAGTTTATACAATTTCAATACATTACTTATTTATCAGTGAAAGAGAGTATTGTTGACCCTTCTGCTGGCAACGGTAGCTTTCAGACTTCTATTTTAATAATTGTCCCTTTATAACAAAGTATATTGTAATTGAATTAGTGAACAATCCGCGATATACACAACATGACCCGTCGCCTTGTGATTCCCACCCCCATTTCATAGCAACGCGCCCTCTCGAAACAGCAGTCACGCTTGAAGTCTATTTTTGTGGGGAGAAAGTCATTCAATGACTTCTACAGCTTTGGGTAAGGCGAGAGGGAGTGTCAGACTCTTATACTAACCAAAAACCACCCCGTTCCTATTTCTGCTCTTCGAGCCGGAGCCCCGGCAACCCGTTAAGTCTTCCGCGGCTTGCACGTGAGTTTGATTCCTGGGCGGGCAAAGCATTGTTGATGGGATTTTCAATTTCTGGACTCTCTAATGGCTTAGAATGAGTAGCAGTGTATCAAGTTACATAGGATTGTGAAAAGTGAAGGTTTATGGTGTGTTCGACGTTCACAGGTGCATTGAATCTTTTACTGTATGAATAACGTGCACCATTGCTTTTTAAAGTGCCCTTTTAATCCATACAATTATAATACTTGTAATGTTCACAGTAACCAAGCGAGGGTTAATACAAACCAATCACTTAATGTATGCACTGATCGCGTGTAACCTTGTCGCGTCGTTGGGCGGCGCTTGCGCATCCGATGTCAGGGCTCCCACACAATTGATCTAGAATAAACGATTACAAATTAACGTTACATTTATTAGCATAATAATAGAGTAATTATAGAAAATGTGTATCAGATTCATGATCTTAAGCTAAGACTCAAGGGAGGAGCGGTAATTGTTGCAATACCAAGGTCAAGAACATTAATTTGTAAACTATTTGTATAGTATTAAAATAATCACAACTAGGAAGTATAAAACAATTTCTCAAAATTACTGTACTGGAGCGCTGTGTTGACATCTTCAAACTTATTCATACATAAGGACCACTTTGAGACCTTAACTACAAATCTAAGATCAGATTCAATTAAAACCTTTAACTTTTCATAAAAGAATGAAAAACCGAAACGTGATTCAATGTGGGATTTTCCGTTGAATGCAAGTACATAAAAAGTTAATGATGTTCTATCAAATTAGTCGTCGTTATCTTCAGTTCGTCATGATGTTGACGGACCTTCTAAACACACACTAATTGTACCATAATATCATTTATTTTCCAAGTCCCCACTACTATTGTAATTGCTTTCTATTGTCTTCCGTGCGATAACTGGGCGACAGGTCGAAGTCACTATTATCTTTCTTTGTTATTAACCAGTAAGGTATCTTCTACAGACAATAAGATCATCAAACTCGCTGATAACTTGGTCACATTATACATCATGTATACTATATATACAGGTATACCTACAAATTACTTAGCTAAATTAGCTCTTGTCGATTCAATTCTAATGAGTTATCTCATTTACATTAGCATAATAAAAACATGGTCTGAATTCAGTGTCCCAGTTACCATCCCAAAACAACCGCTGTCTAGCATACCCTTTCTTAAGAGAATCGGCCAAAGCGTTATAAACCACAATACGTTGCAATCGATTATCTTCATCAACATCTTGTATCCCATGGCACTGCGTTACGTTACCGTTCCGGCCTATTGGGGATTAGGAATTCGTGGATTGTTGAGGATTCGAGGATTGAGAAAATTGGCGGAGGCGCGTAACTAGCGCGAGACCTCCGGTAACTTCACTCACACGACGAAACACAACACACGTGTTGATTCACGTCTGTTTTCTATGAGGCCGTGGTATCACTCCCTTCGAGGCGGCCATGACTCTCCTTGTGTGTCTAATGTTCAGTAACACGGCGAGCTGACTCACATCTACGCAATTTGTTGCATTATCGGTTAAACCGCTAAACATGGTTTAATCTGTCAGGCGTGAAGCACGACCATACCAATACTGTTATTACAACTCCCAAGTATGAACACATCAATGAAGCCACTTCCAGATAGTCCTTGTGTAATCACAAGTAAGTAGTGAAGTAGGTACCTGTACACATGTAGACCTGGGAAGCCTTCAACCACTTCATAAATTAGTATCCACCGCTGCTTATAATTGGGATGATGACGGGGTATGAAAATTAAAAATCTAATTAGTCCGTAAGTTAGGTAATTAAAAAATATTAATCACGTCTTTTTTTATTTTGTCGTATAATAAAACAA